CCTTTTACTTGGGTATTTCTGGAAGCTTCTAGTCAGGAACACAGTTGTCTGACTAAACCCCCTATTGCCTGCTTTCCTTCCCACCGCTGGAAGCACCAAAGAATAGGAGGTGACTAAAATTCAAAAAATTGGAGAGGGGGGAAAGGCAGAACGAGGTTCACGACAGAAAGCTGTACTGCCTTTATATGAAGGGGAAAAAAAGCATTCTATGGACTAATTCATTTTCACATACAGAATGGGAGGCAGAGAGAGAAGGACAGTTGTGAAAAATTAGAGAACGCTGGTGAATCGTCCAAGAAATTTTATGCTCTTCATGCTCCTTTTCTAACTCAGTTCCTTCAACAGAGGGTGAGCCAGGACGACAGGGCGGTCATCTTTGAGAGTCTGCTAGCCACCTTTGACACCCAGCATGCACCCACCTACCCCCAGATTCAAGTAAAATATTACTTTGAAATCCAACATTTAAAGTCACTCAACTCTGAAAACAGCAAGGGCATATTGAGTAAAGTTCTGAACCTTGTTGTCCTGCTCCCCTCCCCCCAGCCACAGATTTTTTTTTTTTCTATCAGTAAGAATCCTTCCTCCATGCTAATCAGAGGTAAGCTCTTAAGTAGAGGAACTAAGCATGATTCAGCACATTTAAAAAGGATTTATACCCATTCTTAGAAGGACAACCAGAGGAAACACCATCTCAAGTCTAAACAATGATATCTGCTTGCCCTTTGATCCGAGTTTAAGGACACTTTGTACAACTTTTTTTTTGTCGTTGAAATACCACTGAATTTCACATTTACTACTCGAAATTTCTTTAGAACATCCACTGTTCCTTTGCACCACACTCTTGCAATCAAATTCTCCAAATTATATTTGCTGTGAGTAGCCTGCAGGCAGGGATTTATTTTCTGCTAACAAAAATCTTCGTTAAGTAGAGGCAACCCCCATGAAAAACAGTACCACTGATCCCTATGTTTATGAGAAAAAGACAGTATAGTGTATCTGGTTACAAATACAAGTAGGGAAGATTCCATTTTTCTCCTAATTTGTTTCCCAAGGGTAATTTTGTTCAGAAGATTGCCAGTATTTTTAGTACAATAAGTTTCTTGTTACTTATACTAATACACACTGATTCCCTTTTCTGAGCATATTTTGAATTATTTCATTTTTACCTTAGCATCTAGAGATCAACACTTCATTAATTCTAAATAAATGAAGTCTGAAATTCAGAGATTTAAAAAAACCTTTGCACTACTCTCAAGTGTGATGCACATTAGAAATATACATATGGGTAACTAATTAAAAAACAGGTATATTAATAAAGTATTATGGTATACATCAGATACCATTAACCAAAATGTCCTAAAGGTCTTCTCTTCAAAGGTCTTTGACTTCATAGAAATCGTGTATGCCATTTCTAAGTGATCAGACCTTCCAGACGAGTGAAATATGAATTTTAAGTGAAGGATAGGTCTTTTTCATCAATTCAATCTTTATTACACATCTTTCCACGTGCTCAGCATGATATTAAGATGTAGGCTTCAATGGTGGATAAAGCCTGGTTGCCTTTTGAGACCGCCACCCAGAGAGGGATGACAAGTGAGTAAGCAAATTTTAAAGAAAAAAAAAATACACATTCTTTTTTGTGATCTGTGCACCCAGGAAAAGCAGCAGCATTCTGTGACAGTAAAGAATGGGTAGGGACGGTCGAAAAGGCTTCTCTAAGAAGGCGAATTTTAAGACCTAAACGATATTTCAGGATACTTCTCCAAGGTCCCCAAATTGGCAGGCCTGCATAATTATTAGACTGTCAAGACATTTGTAGCATTAGCAAACAAGCAGAAAATGGCATCTTGGGCCCCAACTGAATGCACTCTGCACACCAGCCTGTCAGCACTAAGGAGGTTACACACGTCCAACCTATTCACACAGAGAGAATTTCAAACAGTCAACACCACCACCAAACAGCCAGCATTTGGGATATGTGGGAGAAACTGAATTCTGTTGATTCTACTTCCCGAAATCAAGCGGAGAAGGCTCAGTATGTTTCAGATGTATTTCATGAATAAATTATTCTCCCTTGAGTGTGTGTGGGGGGAGGGTTACAACTATGTAACACTTTCTCTTATACTTTTTTTATGTAACTACTAGGTGTAAAAGTAGTTGAAAACGTGTGTCTTTTTGCAGGTTCTTTCATGAGTCAGGTAATACAGCCTGCTAACATGCCATGGAGGTGGAAATCAGCAGAATGCTCCCAACATCCTAAGCAATTACTTTCTTCAAATCAACTGTCCTTAGGCTCAGGGCCATGATAATCAGATTTTATCACATTTTAGCCTCTCGTTCTGAAATCCTCTTTCCTACTGCTAAATGCGTTAAGATTAAATAGAACTGTGGGACTGGCAGGTGGCATGGCTTGTGACTTGGATTCTACTTACCTGAAGGTTCCCCCACTAACTGCCCATGAGGAGTCCTGGGCTGGACCTACAGACAGCGACAACACATAGTCAGAAAGCCCAGCCCTATGACAGGAGGGGCTTGGGGCAGAGTTTCCCACCCAGGAATCTCTTCCAGTTCCACATCAGCCTGTCCCAGGCCTGAGATGACACGCCTGTTGAATTCTCTTGGAAATTTTTCGGTGTTTGTTTTTTGGACCTTGAAGTTTCCCTTATGAGGAATGTAAGTTAGATCATCACCTTAACGGGATTAGTTGACAACCAGCTTCAAGCAGTGTGACTCAGAACCACTGTGTACCTGTAGACCAAAAAGGTCAGACAAGCAAGGAACAAGGAGAATGTAGAGGTCATTAAACACAGTAAATGTCACCATCCTTTACAAATTTTGCCTCAAGCCAACTCTAACACTTTCAAATACCACCTCAGGCAGTGGCTCCCAAACACTGGATCCACATGAGCAATCCTTAGAACTATGGACACCTGGCTTCCACCCCACACATTCTGGTTTCATTGATACAGGGTACCGCCTCAGCATCTGGGTTTTTTAAAAGCCCCCCCCCGGGGGGGCCGTGATTGCAATGTGCAGCAACGTTTGAGAGCCACTGACATAAGGAAGCATTGCTCCTGATCTCTTACTGGGATGATCTGATTTCCTTCAGATGTTAGCATGTCAGTGTTTCTTGACCATGGTGGCACATTAGAAAAACCAAAGACACTTAAAAGATGCCAGACCCCACTCTCAAAGACTCTGACTTAATTGCTCCAGGGAGCAGCCCCAGCATCCCTTAGTTCTTTAAGTGTCCCCAGGTGATGCTAATGGACAGCCAAGGTCGGAACCGTGGACTAAGCCCAGGCACCGTTCTCTGGAGACTGTAAATGATTCTCAGTGAAAGAGCCAGAAGGACCCTGTGTCCTCCACTTTGTCCAGGTTGGGACTACCCCAAGAGCCAATAAAACGTTTCCCCAAGGCTGTCAGGAAACAGGGGAGGCGGATGGAATAAGTGGAATTCACTAAACCAGAAGCAACAGAAAAGAGGAAGAGCGCTGGCCCTCTGCGCTGCTGCTCCTCCCCTCCCCCGGCAGACTGTATTGACAGCTATGAGAGTCCTTAGAATGCTTCCAGGAGGTGCCTCAACCTTGGATTTGGTTCCAATCAATGATGAAAATTCTTACCCATCAGAACTCCTGGCACTGTAGTAGCAAGACTGGCAGGCCTTGAGCCTCCGCTCCCTTTGAGATTCTGTTTCATGAATTTCCCAGGAGGATTTCCGTACCAGTTGGATGCAATCGGACCTCCCTCTTGAGCCCCCTCTCCTTCCTTCCCCCAAATCCCAGCAGAGTTGAGAATCATCTCATAGATGTATTTGTAAGGAACTCGCTGAACTATCTTACATAGTAATCATTGAAGTAAATAATGTCCAATGACAGACATCTTTGACGTGGCTTTGACAAGTGTCTGGTAACCCACTTTGGGGCCTGGGCAGGGCCACAGGTCTCACACGGGAAAGGAAGCCCGCGGAGACCCACCCCTGACGTGGCTACGGCGCCCCCATTTCTGCCCGCGGAAAACGTGTCCCCTACATCCTTTTGTCTACGCTAAGCGGAGTCAGTTTATGAATGAAGAGTAGCACAGATCAGAGGCACTGATCCTTAAAAAAAAAAGTCTTGCCTACACCATTCTCATTTACAAATGAGAAAACTCGGGGGAAAAGGGCTATGTGACTCCGTCCGGGTTTGCCACAGAACATTTGTGGCGGAGCCCGATTTAGCCGCCCTTGAATTTCCATTCTGTTGCCTGGCAACCAGTTCAGACCAGCTCAGCGCCCAACCCTGGCCCCTAACCCGCACCCTTTCTCTGCCCGTGCAGCTCGGGCAGCAGTGATCGGGAGTTCAGCCTTTGGGGGCACCCGCCAAAGGCATGTGAACTAAGATCCTGGGTGGGTTACCCCAACTAGGCTGGGGATCCGGTCCCAAACCCACGCGAACCCCGTCTGGCATGCCTTCCAAGGTTCTTTTGGCACCTTCCTCTGCAACCCTCGTCCCCCGATTCCATGGATACCACTTAACACAATCGCGTCAAGTTTCCAAAGTTCTCAGTTGCTATCAGATTCCCTAAAAATCCCGGTGGAGGAACTGGCACTCAGAGCTTTAAGGGTGCAAAAGAAATTGGGGGGGGGGGGGAAGAGTGAAGACTTCTCCTTCCCAAATGGCTACACTCGGGCGGGACTATTCTGCTCAAATTGAGTTAACCTGGCCCCCGCATTATTGGAAAAAGCGCGGAATACGTCCGGACGCCGCAGTCCGAGAGCCCCACGACCCGGCGCGCCCCGTCCCGCCCGCGGCGTCCGGCAGCCCCAGCGCGCAGCCCCGCGGGAGGCGCGGGGAAGCGCACGTGCAGCCCACCCCGCCGCAGGTGGCGGGAGCGCAGCCCGCCTGCCCTGGTGTCCCCGCCGCTAGGGTCTCCTCCTCCACCCTCTCGCCTCCCTCCCCGGGCCCGAGAGACCGTTATGGGGAGAGTGTTTTCGCCGTTACGCTACCCCAGATCCTTACCCAGGTTCACAAAGCTCATGACCATGTCCGCGTCGTTGAGGAAGGCGCTGTCCTGCGCGCTAGTCAGTGGGGACGCGCCGCCGCCCGGTCCCGCGGCCAGGAGGCTCTTGCCATTGACCCGGGGCGGCGCGCCTGGGGGCGGCTGGCGGCGCTGGGACAAGCCTACCCCTCCGCGGGGCCCGTGCTGCCTTCTCTCCTCCCCCGACGCCCAGTCCTCGTCGTCGTCCGCGGCCAGGGCGTTGTACAGATCCAGCATGAAGAGGGGCGCAGACTTTAGCCGCCCGGGAGGGGGGTCCCCGCGAGGCTGCTGCTGAGGGAGCGCAGCGGGCTGCGGCTGCTGGAGGCCGTGCAGGGGTCGGGGCCGGTGCGGGAGCCCCAGCACCGAGAGGATCTCCTTCTGCATCTCGCGCTTCTCGTGCGTCTTGAGCCGCCGGTAGAGGAAGCCGGAGGAGGAGGACTGCGGCGGCGGCGGCTGCTGCTCCGCGTGGCTCGGGCTCCTGCCGTCCCCCAGCAGCGCCCCACCGCCGGCGGCGGCGGCGGGCAGGGGCGGCCGAAGCGGCGGGGGCCCGCAGCAACTGCACAGCAGCCCCCACCACCAGCACAGCCACTGCGCCCTCCGCCCCAGCATCCCCGCCCGGCCGGACTGGCCCCGCGGGCCCCGCGAGGCGTGGAGCGGCGGAGCGAGGCCGGAGCGCGGCCGCTGTGGCCCTTGGCGTGAGCAGCCCCCGCCACCTCTCGGCGGGCTCGCTTCCCCTTCCTGGCCCTCAGTCCTTATCTCTCATCGTTCTCTGGGGCGCCCCCAGTTGCCCAGGCTGGAGGGGAGGTGAGGGGGGAGATCACGCGGAAAACCACTCGGAGGGGAGCCCCACACTCCCGCGCAGGTCTCGGGAGGCGTAAGGTCCAGGCCAGGTGCGTCCGAGTCCCGGCTGCGCTGCAGCCGGCGCCCTCGCCTCTGGGCGGGTCACGGCGCGGTCACTCCCGGGCCTCGCTGCCCGCGCACGTGCGTTGTCCCGCTCCCTCCCGGGCGGCTGAGTGGGAGCCGGGGCGGCGGGGCGGCTCACCAGCTGGGGGAGATGCCCGGCATCATCCCCGCGCACGCCTCTCCTTGGCTCGCACAGCCGCCGAGAAGTTTACTCCGCCGTGGGGCCCAGGCTGCGGCGACACGGCGTCCCGAGATGCCAATCTTCTCCGCAAGGCTTAACTTCCTCTCCGCTCACAAACTCCGCGCCCCTCCGCCCTCGGGCACTGTCGCTGCCCCCCAGAATCTCCGCGCGCCGCTCGAACCCCCCAGGGGAGGCGGCAAGGATCTTGCTTTCCGTTTAGAGCTCTCCCGGCTGCCCCGCAAACACCGCTCGCAGGCAGGACCGGAGGGAACAGGACCCGCGCGGAGCAGGGACCGCGGCAACAGCGCGGGAATTCGGAGTCTCCCGCCTCTCCGCGCTGCGCTCCCCGCAGCGGCCAACGTGGGCTTTCTGGTGTGCGTCTCGCTCAGGTACCGCACTCCAGCCCCCGAGAGTCCCTGCCCTCTTGGGTAACAGACAGCTTGGCAGCCAATGAAGAGGCACCCCCTCGCCTGCATTTAAATAGGCCCGCCCCCTTCTTTCACCCGCCCTCTTCAGGGAGGCGTGCCTCGGCCGCGCGTAGGTTTCAAGCACAGAGAATTCTTGGAGGCACCAAAAGTAGGCGCGAGGTAGCAAAGGCGAAGAGGTCATCGCTAGTAAGGACGATCTAATCAACACCCCAATGTAAGCTGTCTCTTTTACAATCACGTAAAAGGCCCGAATTGATGATTTAACTAAATAAAAGCAAAATCAATGCCACCTGTATTCACAGAGGGACAGCAGGAGTAGTTTCTAGTACTTGGTGTCTCTTGACAGTTGTAATAGAGGCGGACTCATGACCCTCAAAGGCAGCTGCGCGGAGTTGGGACACATCCTCCGAGAAACTGCTCACAAACAGGCCACAAAGAGGGCCAAATGTAAATCGGAGCCGGCGTCCTGGGGATTTGGGGCCAAATACCTTGATTTATCTCTTCAGATCAGCTTTGGCTTGGCTTCTTAAGCTAACACCTTAAAGAAAAGGGGTAATTAAGTAATATAGTAGCCACCCGCTACTTTTTCTGGAAATATTTCAGTGCTTCTCCAGGTTTTCTGTTAACTTTTCATTTTAATGTGTTGAAACACAATAGAGCTTTCATGATGCTAGATAGATAAAACTTGGGGAGAGGTGGTATAGAAAATTCCTACTCAGGTAGGGGCTTGGCATGTTCCCATTCAGGTTAACAGGGGTGCCGAAAAGTTGCTAGCAGCGTTAGACAAGATCAAGCGTAGAAGACACAGTTTACATGACAGGCACACTTCTCAGTCACAGAGAGGGACGCCTCTACCCAGACACCACCACCATCAGCCATTCAGGATGCAAAGCCACCTGCTCTCATACTATCCAAGAATGCCCAGGAATCTACAGAGCCTACAAACAAATTCACTTAAAACACTAGGATCTTTTGGTGAAAAATGTACGGGTTAGAAAATAAAACCTTCACTGACCTTCTTAGTTCACATAGTCCAAGGCATTTCTGAGCCAGTCTGGAAAGATATAAACTGTGGGATTTATGGACTTATGAGATCATGGGATTTCTGCTGATCGAAATCTGATAAGCATTTCTCTTATTTCAAAGGATCTATTTTTCACGCCGAAGGGTCTTCACCCCCCCCACCACCCATTGGACTGCTCTTTCTGGCTCTCTCTCAGCTCAGACACAGTGATCCTTTAGTCTTTAATTCTACAGATTTAATTTGTTAACTCAGATTTACTTCTACGAGTGAAGTATTTCGTCCTACAAAGGTCTGAAGCCATGGACCTCAGGTAACACAGCTTCAGCAATACAGAAGATGGGTCTTGAGCAGGGATTCTTTCCTTGTGAAAAGAAAATACATCACTCTTGGTCTGGCATGCCAGGATCCTTAGAATTCAAAAGCCTCCATCACTTCTTTCTTCTCCATGGGACTTGTTTGGGTATAAAAAATCACTGCAGTGCATAAAATCACAGCAGCCAAAAGTCCTGATCAAAAGATCTGAAATCTTTGCAGTAAGTATATGTAGGCTTCCTGCCAAGATCCTTCTCCCTTCGCAAACGCAGTCACAACTCCATCTTAAGACCTCTAGTGATACAGACGCAGAGTAAAAGCATCTCCAACCTTTTAGGGCAGGGGGAAAGCTCTGAAAAAACAGTAAAACCCTGAGTGTAGACAAGGGCACCTGGGTAGGACTGTGCTGTTGAAAACACAAAAATAAGTTGTGACCCATCTATTAGATATGCACGTATTGTCTGTGCACATAGGAACAAGTGGAGAACACACACAGGCGTACACACATACTATCTTCCCCTTTTCTTAAATACTTGTTTAGAAGTAGATGGACCTTGTGACATGGGTCAAAAATGGCACTTAATGAGTCTTTTTCAAGCATCTGAGCAACAGCCCTGATACAGGTCGACCATGAGCCTCCCATCCCCATGAAGATGGCCTCTCAGTTCCTGGGGAGGAATAGTGCTGGAGAAAGGAGGTGTTGAGGGTGCCCCCAGAAGATGAACACAACAGCACGCAAGTCTCGTAAGAGCCAGAGGGAAAAATATGTGAAATGCCACATGACAGTGATCATAAGGGACATTCAACTGAGGGCCACAAAAGAGGGTGTGCTCTCCTCGTGTCCCCACCACTCCCAACAGGGGCACATGTTGGCTGGAAAACATTGGGAGACCCCCTTGGCCTGGATATTGAGGCAAAGGGGGATAAAGAGATGCAGTTCTCAAGTTTTTATAACCTCATAATTGGGACCTCTGCTTTTCCAAGACAGCTGAAATCCTGGGTGGCTAAGAACCTCTAACCCAGCACCTCCTCCACTCCCCGCTTCTCTGACCCCCTCCCCAGCACCCCCTGAGAAGTCTCGGAGAGTTGGGCAAAGTCCAGATGTAATTCCGGAGGGATGGGGTGAAGGGAGAGAAGGAGGTTTGGCTTTGGAGTCTGCTGGAAATGTGGGACCAGACTGGAGAAAAATCAGAGGTAACTTCGCCCCCTGCAGGACGCGAAAATATTACCACCCCTTCCTCCGCACCCGGAACAAGCTTCATTATTAAGTTCCCTGTATGTATCTCCAAAGCATCTGGGTGGAAAGAGGAGGAATTCGGTCAAGAAGCCGGATGTGGGAGCCAATCCACATCAAACATCTGGTTGCTTGGCTGACATCTCATGCAGATGGCCTTCAGTTTTCTGGAAATGGGTTGCCTGTCCCACTCCCGCCCATTTAATGAAGGAATGAGGAATCCCTCACCATAAAGCACAGGTTTATCCCCTGACTTCAGTGATGCTGAGGGGAGGGTGAGAAGCCCGTCCCTAGGTGTTATTAATGCACAGGGTAATTCACAAAACAAATTCTTTAAAACAGCAGTTCTTCTTGTTTCTTTTATGAGGAGTTCTGTTATACATTTAAAATACACATGGTCAAATGATTTCTATTTTTAAAAGATGCTGTTTATTAATTTAAATATCCTATACTCCACGCTTCCTTTGGAATTATACTGTTACCAATAAACTGCAATTACCGCCTTTGGTTTTGTCCTAAATCACACATCGTCCCCTCTCAAGGTCTTGCAAATGTAAGTAGGCTGCTTTTAGAATGAATGTAAGTGTCACAACCCATGTTGTTCTTGTGTCAAAAAAGCCTGAGGTCCAGTCACCTTGAATCCTTGGAAAACTCCACCTCAAATACTACATTTTAATCTCTAATATTTGTGTAAGGATTTGATTATTTCTTAATATTAATTTCAAAATAGAATAATATGCTCTGATTTCAAAAATACCGATTTGGAGTTGAGTGAAAAGGAAATACAGTGAGTAAATGTTTGCAGAGTGCGAGAGATGAAAATTTGAGAGTTAAATATTGCTTCTGAAAGCTACACCTATAGGGCAGCCTTCAAAACACGTGTTTCATCCAAAAGTCTGTGTTAGCAGTTACATTCACTCACACTTTCCTTTCTCTGTCAACTATTCAAAAATGCTGGGCATTCCCACTTCAAAATATCATTCAAGCCATCATATTTTCCTACTCGTGAAGGACATCTGGTGGCAAAGTGAAAAACTAATACATAAATCTGTTTCCAGAGATTTTTTTTTTCCACACTGTAACCCAAATGGCAAATCTGTTACTTGTGTGTGCTTTCCAATTTTTGGCCAAGCTCAGATCTTTATCGTCTTAGAATTTAGCCTGTCTACATAATATTAAGCAACAGAGTCTTCAGAAACATCCGAATGATTAAATGGTTTTTAAATGGTTCATTGGATAAAGGACATGTGCAGATTGAGTCTTAATTTTTTTTTTCAACTGAGCAAAACAATGCTTAAGACATTTCCATGACTAGTTCTACTGTCCCTGAAGAGTTCTGTTCCAAGAAATCATTGTACACTTGGCTCTGCTGGGGAGGGCCTGAAGCTCCACAGCCCGTCCTGGCCTCAGAGTTTCACTCCATTCTGTGGTCCTCTTTGTACCCCATGTCCTGGATGTGTCTCTTGTGGCAACTGGGAGGCTCCATGAAAATATGACATTATCGTGCTGCACTGTAAGCAATGGTGTTGGGGACCGAGGAAAACCACACTGCCTGGGTAAAATCAGATAGAAATAAAAGCCAAGACCATCTCTAAAAGAAGAAGAGAGAGTCTAAGAAGACGTGCACCAATGGGAAGGCTGATGTTGACACTAATCACCCCGACTTCATTCATTCATTCTTTCTTTCAACAAATATTTGCATGCCTAGTATGTGTCAGGTAGTCCGAGATCCCTGCCCTCATAGATTCTAGAAGAGGGGAGATGAACAATCAATGAGACAATTAATAAAATATACTATGGTAGGCAGGATGCTGTCTCCATGATTCTTACCTGTAGGGTTACACCTGTGAATATGTGACCTTATGTGTCAGGTGGGATTAAGATTGCAAAACAGGTGGTGATAAATTGGGAAGATTATCCTGGATTATCCAAGTGGGCCTAATGTAATCACTAGGATCCTTAAAAGCAGAAAAGAAAGGCAGAAGAGATGTAGCAGCCTGAGAGGGACTCAGTCTGTCTCTCCTGGCTTTGACGGTGCAAGGGCATAAGCCCAGGGATGCAGGTGGCCTCTAGAAGCTGAGTGAGAACCTTAGCCAACAGCTGGCTAGAAGAGTGACCTCGGTCTTGACTCTGAATTCTGTCTAAAATGTGAACAAGTCTGGAAGTGGATTCTCATCCGGAGATTCCCAGACAAGAACCCCTAGGCAGTGGACAGCTTGATTTTGGTGGTGGGACCAAGGGCAGAGAAAGTAGCCAAGCCTAATGGGCTTTCAACCTACGCAACTATGGGATAAGTTTGATTGTTTTAAACCACTACGTTTGTGGTATTTTGTTTCCCAACAATGGAAACTAATATGTATATAACATGTTGGTAAGTGCTGTGGAAAAAAAAAATCAAACCAAGAA